GCTGTAAATTCTGGGAGACATGTGTCCCGACAACACCGCTGTCTGAGTAGTTTTCACAGCAATCGAGGGGAGCGCAACGGCAGCTCAGAGGTCTGCAATGATCACGACGTCTTTGTGATGAAGTGGCCAATTGAGGGAGCCCCGTGTGAAAGTGTGGTTCGGCACAGGTGTGTGAATGTTGACCTCTGACTACTGCTGAGTGATGTGATTTAAATGGACTCTGGTCCAGGAGACCCTTCATTTCTACCACTGTCAGCCATTCTTAACTCTTTCAGCACCTGTTTCCCATGCCTCATTTTCCCGATTTTCTTTTTGTGTATTAACACTTTCTCCAACCAAAACAAATTACTTTAAAAAATCCCACAGCCATTCACACGACTAATCACAACAACATGTTTAAGCTTAATCATACTGGAAAGCTCCAAACATGAATGCATGTACTTGAAATCCATTTTTTTTTAAAAACGTGGACATGTTTTAATTTTTGCTTCGTCACTTTAAAAAACTGTTTACACCTGCATGATTACTGCCTCTGCTGCGGCTCTTCTTGCTACGTAAAGTTTATCTGTGTTGTGTGTAAATATTCATTACTAGAGCTCAAACATTCAGGGCATTTTCAAAACACACTAACCTAAATTTAGTTTCCCCATAGCAGAAAACGGATGGATGGATGGATGGGAAGCCTAAACAATTAGTCAAATGATTAAGAAAATTAAGCTACAGAATAACAGCTAAGGATAATCACCATTTGCCGCTTCCCTGTTGTTTTTCCTAATCAGGTATCTACAAATAATAAAGGCACTCTCTACTCTTGAAGTGGCTGATTTAATCAGCTCAGTGCAGCCATTCTTCTGATAGCCTATTAGGCAATCAATATTATTATGTCAGGAGGGAGTCTATAGCACATCACACAGATGAATAAAACATAGACCGAACATCAGGGAGAGACAATCCAGGGTGCATTAGTCAGACAGCGCTGTGACGTTGCCAAGTAAACAAAACACAAACTGGCAGGTTTTTGTTTCTTGCCCTAAAGCTAAAGACACATAGTACACAAACAGCATAAGAGCACACGCGTATACTGTATGCACTGAGGGAATTCCAAACATAGTGCTTGTTTGTTGGGGAATGAATGGAGGCATTGAACGGCGAACATTTCTTGTCACAGTGCAGTGGTGACAAAGGAAGACGGGAGAGGCAAGTTGCTGAATTAATGAATTGTGTCTGTCTCAGAGCTGAACAACTGAATCTCATGAATATTGCGTTACTATTCAGTTCACATGGCCCTGCAAGGTATAAAAGAAATATAATACCATGCAAACTCCTTTTATGTAAACAATTAACATCAGTGGGTTAAAAAAAAAAGAAGCAAAAAAAGCCAACACACACTTGGAGTTGTCTTTATTGCATCTCCACACTCATCTCATTAAAGGTGGAGGGAAAAGGAAGAAAGAAATAGTGACCACTCCTTTAATGGGCAGCTGATGATGTCATATCACTACACAGATTCTTTGGTCTCCAAGTAAACCAGCTCTTCTACTTGCTGATTGGCTGACTGGCTTTGAGAGGGGGAGGGTGGTTTTCTTCCCCTTCTTCTTCTTCCCGTCTTGCTTCTGGATTAATCCCTTTGCCAGAGTGAGCTCATCTCTCCACTTCGTTTTGCTGTCTCTCATGTAACCTCAACAATTATTCTTAATGCAGTCATGTCCAAGTGTACAAAACTGGATGATTTAGAGGGCTGTATTGTCCCTAGAAGATGATGAGGTGTGCTTTCTGCTCAGGTTTTTAAAGTAATCTTATTAACTAAACACTTAGGTGGCAAATTGCGCCTTCTGCTTGAAATCCAATAAGTTTGCCTCTTGCAGGCTTTTGTTGGCAAAGTCTGCTTCCTCGAGAGTTCCTTTCACTACTTAAGTCTCATCCCCTGTAGCCCTGCCGCTTGTTTTCATAGCTGTGATGAACGGCGCCCTGAACTCTTGCACTGGTTGCCCTCTGCAGTGAAACACAATGCCATGTGCCTCTATCACACTCATGTCTGGGGCTACAGGTGACCAGCTGTCTGCTTGTATTCCTCTCCTCTGGGACAGCTGGAGCCATCAATCAGCTCACCCCCTCCAACCCCACCCTCCCCGAGCCCCATTGTGCCCGTCTGCCCGGTCTGACCACCACAGCAGCACCGTCAGACTCATCTCATCTGCTCTTTGGCTCCTCCGGGGAGCGCTTCTCAACTTCCACGTAGTTGCGAATTCATGCTTGTTTCCAGGATCTCAGGACAAGCTGTGCAAATCTCTCACTGTCTCTGGTGTTGGTTTTTGGTTTGAGTACTCATTGATGAGTTTGGCATTTGGCTCCCATGAACTTGCCCTTCATCTAACAGCTAGTTTTATGATGCCTCTGATGGTCATAAATTGATACATTGTTGAGCCCACTCCACACAGCACGTGCAGTCACAGTCCTTTCTCCCTCTGCAGATGGAAAGCATTGAAGCCCATTATTGTGTTCTTGGAGGGGCGTCTTCCACCATGAACTCTTTGGCACACTTTTAAAGAGAGTGGCCTTAATGTATTCAGGCCTGATTCACAGTGGCTTTGGCACTACCGCTACCATCCCCCCAGCCTACACACACACACACACACAACTCTTTTTCTTAAAAGAGAGAGTAAACATGTGTGAGTCGCACTGTTCCTTGGAACTTTTTCTTGTTTATCGAAAAGGGAATTGATGAGCCTGACAGGGGACTTCAAAGGGGGACATTAAAAAATTCAGTTTACCTCAGGAGAACTTTGTGAAGGACACTTGATCAAAGAGCAGAAGGACCCAACAGTTGCACACTAAAACTTTTTATGTGACCCAGATTTGCCTGTTGCATAATGCTTGTCTGTCGGAACAACATTGTTGAACCTGTGTCAGTTATCTGAAGTTTGCCAGAACTGCTACTATAATTAGGCTAAACCAAACCATAGAAGTGGCTGAGCAAGCGTGTCTCCAAGCTCTCCGAGCCTTGTCAAACAGAGGGCTAATTGTGAATGTTGGTAATTATTAGCTATTTTATAAAGAAAGAAAGCAGAATTCCTCGGTAATGGTGACTGCTGCTTCTGCTCATGTGACTATCAGTTTCTCCCTCTGGTCTGTGGACAGTTCATTGTTGTGTCTTAAAGAGCTGCAGGGCGACAGGGAAACTAATTGGGTGGAGCATGTCTGGACATACTGACTCCCAGGCTCTCTACTGGAGCGTCGCTGTGCCACACACGCACACAGACACACTCACCTTACTCGATTATACACCTTTGACGTGTGAAAACAAAAACAATCATTACTATAAAGCATGCAATCCAATCAGCGATAACAACAGAGACTCTCTGCACAGATGGCACTATTAAATGTTTATTTACATCCTCAGTTACTTAACCTTGTGCTTTAGAAAGATGTAAGTTAAAGGTGCCTGATATTTCTTTCTGATATTTATTCACTTTTATTGTAACTGCGCATGCCCTTTTTTGTTTGTTTTTACAAACAAGCTTCGTGATGAGCAGTTATCCGTGGTTTTTACCATGTTTATTATCACAAAGCCATTCAGTCCTGATCCAGCGCTAATTTACGGCTCCGGTGAAACTGCTGCCTCCAAAGCAAACGACGTCAAGTAAATCTACGTGTTTGCATTTGTTGGGTGTTATTTTAGCACCACTTATTCTAATTTGAATAGAGAAACTCTGTGTTTTCAGCGAGAGCTGCGGAGGGACTGTTTCTGCTGCCATTCGGCTTGAAGTGCCTGTTTTTGGCTTTCAGGGTGGGGCTCTAAGGGAGGCCCTTGGGCACAGTAGGTAGTGAGAAAGGGGTCTTCTTTAAGGAGGACACAATTTGCATAGGTCTATGTACACAGCTTTCGGAGACCTCTCCCCAAATATCTGAGTCGAGCACCTGTATTGACATTGGCAGAACACTTTGTCTCAGGATTCAGGTCCAGCTAGGAATGAAAGCAAACCACCACAGCGCGCTCGCCGTGGGCAGCTAGACTCGCAAATACCTGAGAGGACTTTATCAACTGGGGTGGGGAGGGTGCGTGACGCTGCTACTTCATGAGAAAAGGGTTGCAAATGAATCCCATCAGTGATTACGACACATAGAGTTGTGTTGTAATCCAACAACTAAAAGAGATGATGTAAAAGAGTTGATGATACAGTCTTGATCCCTGGGGACAAAAGACAAGGTCAGCAAATGAAGTTAAATGTATTTAAGTGGGGCCTTTCTGCTGTTATAGAGTTTGTTTTATTTAACTGAGAGAAAGAAAACAAAATTCAGAGAAAACTATGGTCCTAAAAAGTAAACAAATGAAAGAAGGAAGGAAAGTAAGATGAAATTAAGAGGAAACTATCACCCCAAAAATAAACAAATGAAAGAAGGAAGGAAAGTAAGATGAAATTAAGAGGAAACTATCACCCCAAAAATAAACAAATGAAAGAAGGAAGGAAAGTACAAATGAAGTTTAGAGGAAACTATTGCACTGAAAAAGACTTGAGGGAAGAAGAAAGGAAAACAATATGGAAATTATGAGGAAACTACAGCCATGAAAATGTAATAATAAAAACACCTATTTCTTTTCAAAGAAATAGGTGTGTACATCCATTACACAAGATGGGCATGCAGTTTCTGGGGCTTTCAAACTCATCTCATTGCCCTAAATAAACATCAAGCCACTCAAGTTACTTTGTTAACCAACTTAGTTAACTAAACTGTTTTCACCATGTAATTTAAAAAAGAAAAGAAAAAAGAAAGAAAGAAGAGAAATCATTCCAGGACAGTAGTTGTGATTGCTTGGTTATGATAAGAGGTGGCGTTTCCTCTAAAGCCTACTTCACTTTTGCGTTCCATGTAAAAAGAAACTGAGTCAGAATTTCATGCAGCTTACTCAGTGTTTTCCTTTAACTGGAAATAAGCCACAGCGTATACAACATTTAGGCACCACCCACGTTACAATAACAGGACTTTTATCTGCCTGGTGATCACACAGTTTGTGACTGCTCATCAGCTGCTAAAATAGAGAGGAACCTGGGGATTCCTATAACTGCCTTTAGAGTGTATAATAGTGAGTATGTATTTAAAAAGGGTGATAAAAAGAAGAAGGAAAAACGTATTTTATTGTGTTTATTTCATCAATCTATTACTACTACTCCCAGGCTATTATTATTATTATCATTATTATTATTATTATTATTAGTGACCAATTGCGTTTTCTCACGCAGGTAGTAAGGGCTCAAACCAAACACAGAAGGACGGGCAGGAAGCGGCGTGGGCAGCCTCCTTGTGTCACCGCCTGCGTCAGACTAGACGCCAGGAGGGAGTTTTCCACTGACGAAAAAGCCTGCGCTTCTCGGCAGTCTGCTACAGACAAGGGAAGCGCTTCAGCTGGTACGGACCCCGTGCGGCAGAGAGGCACAGACAATAGGAGAGAATAAAAAAAAAAAGGCTGTGTGTACGCGGGGGATAAGCGCTACGTTTATTCGTGCCATTTGGATTACTTCCACCGTTAACACCCGTCGGCTGTTTTACCCAGCGTGACTATTCGGTGACTGATGGTGATCGGATACTTGAACTGGTGGTGAGTACAAACAGAATCGGGAGTTTCGCTGCTGGGTTATTGAACACCGTAATTTACGCGTTCAACCTCAGCGGAGGGAAGCAGGGGGGAAGCCAGATAGTTTGACTGTTTATTCTCGTGTGTCAGGAGTCGTTTAAATGCCCTGTGCGGGTTGTGTCTATGCGTGTCATCTCTGGTGGGGTTTTATTCGCTTGATTTCTTTTTGAACACTTTGCCTGACGCTTTATTGGAAATGTACGCGGCTGTGGTGGCCCCCGCTAGTTAAAGTTGAGTTTTAATGAATTGTTTTCTGGTGGCAGCACACGGGTGCTGGTATTCACGGTAACTGGAAAGAATTAAAGTCATTTAACTGATTTTCTTTTTAAACGCGAGATTCCACGACCCGCTTCATTCACTTGGTGATTGACTGATTTATTTGTTTTTAGATCGATCGCTGATTAATCAGCGGTTTACAAACTTCACGGCTCACGCCGGGAAAGCCGTGCTTCCCACCGCTGTGGGTTTTCGGCTGCGGATTCATTTAGGTGATCTGAACTGTTGATGAGGTCGGCTTTGTGTATTCAGCCCGTGCGGAGTTGTTCTTGTTCACCTCGGCGGTGTTGGTGCGCCTCTTGTAACTAGAGCGACTCCTGAAGGCACTACATCTGAGCACACAGCTGATAGGGCTGCTGTCATTAGAATTAGCATTAATCATGAGGCATGATCGGGTCAGCTGGGGGAGAGAGCCGGCTGGACTCGTACGACGTGCCTATTCGACCCGATATAATTATCGGTTTTTAAATTTGGGGGGGGGATTTTAGCGATTTGCCACATGCAGGTAACAGTTCAGTCTTTGAGCCAGGTGTGGACAAGGAATGCGGAGCTCCTTCATTGTTTGATCAGTTTTCCATCACGGCATGTGGACCTTTCTCTTCTTTCTTTTTAAATGCGTAAATGACTGAAGTTTCTAATTCATTTAAGTACTATAAAGAGAAAATGATGTCAATGTGGTTTATTTTTATTGTTATTCTCATCCAAAGGTCTTGATTTATTAATGTTATTAGTTTTTCCAGGTATAACACTGCCCTCTGGGGCTTTTATTTATTTATTTAATCTCTGGACAGTGTCTGTTTTCGATAAAGCGCCTGAGTCGATTTAATCGTCTCTAGCGCGACCTCACCCGGATCATTTTTGGAATCATGTTTTTTGGAATTAGGCTACAGAGAGCTGAATGATCCTTTGTTTACTGAGAAGGAATACAGCACTCGGTGCTGTGCATTTAATGTCCAAGGAGGTTTCAGATGTGTTAAATAAGTCATTGTCTCTGCTTATTTAACATCATTTTCCATTTATAGCACACATTTTGCACCCACGTCCCTCTTTAAAATAACAATTGACCTGTTTGCTGCCTCCTTATTAAAACTGCCAATGCACTCCCAAATCCTCTCAAATGATTTGAAGGAATTCGCAGCACAGCGAATAACATCCCCACATCCTAACTGCCTCATCTCCATCGTGTGATCCTGCATTCAGTTTGCCTTGTGGTGCCTGCAGCTGTCAGACACAGCACAGATAATCTGGATGGCCACTTCCTGTGCACTGCAGTGCATGTTTCACAACCTCAGGAAGCTCATGCACACTTTTAGTATCTGTCTCCCCAGCTGGGAGAGGCAGCAGCCGCATGCTGGGTTCAGACAAGGTTCTCTGTGCCTGCTTCATTTTGGTCACGCAGGATGGCCCCACGCTTTTGTGCCTGGAGACGAGGGTGGAGTGGGGGTGTGTGTGTGTGTGTGTGTGTGTGTGTGTGTGTGTGGAGGGGGTAACACGGAGCCTGCTGACAGCCTCCAACACAGCAGCCGAGAGCTCCCATCTGCTTTGTCCTCTCTCAGCATTCCATACAGCAAGTGTCCCAGACTGGAGCATGACCCCTGAACCCGAAGCCACTCCCCCTCCCTCCACCCAAACACACACCCAAAAGCTGTGTGTTTTCTGCTTGTGGACTGCTATTCTAAAGAGGTTTTCTCAAAGTTTGCTGCTGTGCACTTGGCACAGTTTCTGTTATTTGCAAGCGTGTTACAGAAAAATCAAAGCTGCATGTCATTTTGTCTGCACAGTGAATGCCATTCGAGGTAAAGAGTGGAAAAAAACAGTTTTAGCCTTCCCTTTAAAGCAGGAGTAAAGCAACCCTAACAGTGGGTAAATAGTCCTCTGCAAGCATCACCTGGACATTCAGGTTTGCTCTGCATAACAGATTAATGGCAGCCTGGGGCGTGTGAAGTCCACGTGCAAGCTAATACCCTGTCAGGTGTAGCTAGGAAAGGTGGCTGGCTCAAGTGTCTAGTGGGAGTAGGACTTTCCAGTGGTTAGCAGTAGAAAACACATCTGGGTTAGATAGAGCCTGTGTTCTTCTTCCACTATTACTGCGGGAGAAGTGCTGCCAGAATGGAATTCCTGTGGCTTGGAGACATGACATTATTTATTTGTTTTGTACAGTCCTCCCTCCTTCTTCCCACTACCTCTCCTTTTTGGAATCGCGCTGTGCACGGGTCAAGGCAGAGGAACAGAATGTTTCTGTGGCACAGTCACAGCAAGCTTTGCGGCTTCGGTGAGAACAACAGGCTTATAGAGGAGAAAGCGGGAGCGCTCCCTGCATTGTTCCAGCAGGTGGAGCGCTTCTGACTAACAGCTGACTTCATAAGAAATGAGCCAGTGTTTCCCCCAGCTGTGCAGGAGCTGGAATCCAGCCCATCCGTCACCTTGACGGCTTTGATCAATTATCTCCCGTCCTCTCGGTGTCAGAACTGGAAGTGAGAGGTGCAGTACCTTGAAAGCCTGCAGAGGCTGTCCTGCCCAGCCACGGTTCTACACACACGGGAAGGCTCCCAAGCTTATCATTATCACATTTTATGAGCACTCAGTCAGTCATTCAGACACTGCACAAGGCTGTCAGTGTGCCATGTAAATGCTCCCGGCTGGCTAAGATTAGTGCAACTTGTCGCTCCCACCCACACGGTTATCAGCTGCAAAAGGGCTGGACAGGCGGTGCGAGGGGGCAAAGTCAACTGTGACTTGTCCTGATGGCTGAGGGGCAGACGGGAGCAGTTCAAACAGGGTGAAAGTTGATATCTGTGCAAAACCAAAGATGTGTATAAGAAAGCTTTTATGATTTGGTTCTTTTTTTGTGATTCTGATTAAACTAAAGCTTTCCGATAAGTTCGTTTGATAAGATTTACTGTGGCATTTTGCCTTTTAAAAGTAATTCAAACTCTTTTACATCCTTCTCAAATAATTGAATACTCTTTTATAAAAGGGTTTGAGGGGCTGTCTGCAGATTTAAAATAAAAATGAATTGAAATTCTAAAGTCGTACAAACAGCCCCGTAGCTGGATGTATCAAGATAATCTTATTCAACTGACATAGTTATGCATCTGACTTGAGCTGTGTAGTGCTTCTGGTGACAAATCTCCTCGCCAGAGATTTATCTTTCCAAGTCTGTGACAACTGGCTGGGGAGCACCTCGGTGGATGCGTCCTTTATCTGCCTGCCTGTGTGCGGTTGATGGAATGACAGTGATGCATAATTTAGCGCACGCTGAAAACATGCTGCGCTCCTCCTCTGGCTCGGCTGTCCGATCACATCCATTCTCCATTTAGAGCAGACATCCACAGGCACCGCTTTTTTGACGAGCCAGCGCCGAATTCCTCTCTTTTTATCTTTGTCCCACCCTTTTGCAAATGAGTCACTACGCAATGTCTTTTCTTCTTTTTTTTTCACCCTGGGTCCCTTGTTCCATCCGCTGTCTGTGCTCTCTTGGCCTTGTTCAGTGGGTGCAGCGGCTGAGCAGGCTGAGAAGCTCCAGATTGACTACAAGCCGTCCCCTTGCCAGGATTAACCTCTCGCCATTGTTTCTGCCCGTTGAACAGGATTAACAAATCAATGTGTCAGGTAGACTGCAGTCAAGAGACAATGACCCAGTTCTGACACCACTGCCCCCCCCCCCACCATCTCTCTCTCTTTCTCTCTCTCTCTCTCTCTCTCTCCCTCTCCCGCACCCCCCCCCCCCCCCCCTCCCCCACTGCAGCTTTTAATTAAAAAGACTTTGCTTAGCTGGCGCTATGCACTCCCTGGAGGATGCTTCACAGCTTTGTTTTTTTTGTGGGGTTTTTTTTTCTGGGAACTGGAGCTGGGAATGGTGGCAGAATTGTAAGGTGAACCCTCGCGTGCTCTGCGTGCACAGAGACGTGAGCTTTGTGGTGTTTTTCAGAACACACATGTTGTCTGATAAGGGAACACACAAAGCAACAGATGCGGCACCCAGGTGTTTCTAAATGGTTTCAAGACAAATCCCATCATCATGTCATAATATTAGTTATACGTGTACAAGGCATTTTGAGATTATTTTTTTTGCACGAGTAAGCTGAAGGATAGGATGGGGGGGATTCAGTGCCCCCCCCCCTTTTTTCCCTCCACTCTTATTGTCTGTGTAATGTGAAGGCTACAGTGTGGAAGGGAGCGTTTTTTGTTTGTTGCAGCGACAGTGTGAGTTGGCTTGACCTATTGCAAGGTGATTCATTCATCATGCGTGCACTGGGGACAACAATATCTGACCGCAGCAATAACAATAACCCCCTCCCTGTACATCTGCAAAGATGCACCCACTGCCTATATGAAGGTGTCAGCCTCTTGCCCTTGACTTTGCCCTTGTCATAAGGATTTTTTTTTCATAACTGCTCTCTGTTGCATTCAGAAAATGGCTCTTTTTTTTGTACACCAGCTTCCAGATCTTCTTTTTCTTCTGTTCTTTGAGTAATGACATCCCGATGAGACAAGCAAGACATGCAGATCGCACATGGATTCAAAGTTCCTATAAAGTCACTGGAGCATTTCTGACAAATTGGCTGTGTGCTAAAGAGCAATGGTCACATTTTAAGCTGTTGGAAGGATGGTTGGGTGTTTTACGTGTGTGCAGTACTGTGTTTAGTAAGAGTATGTTTTAAAAAATGACGAAAATCAAAGTGATTCAGCTGCAATGTTGAAAGATTTGTAAGCAGTTTGACGGTGAAACGAGGTAAAGCCTCCTTTTCCCATTCCACATCATCATCTGAGGGAGTGTCTGTGCTGGAGCACGGCCCGGTTGTGTCCTACCTCTCCCTTCACTTCCTTCCTCCCTCCCTCCCTGGTTAAGATAGCAGGGGCTCGTCCTCGCAGTGATGATAAACTGTGCCGTCTAGCAGCAAGCATCGCCTGCTAATCTTCCCAACTTCTCAAAAGTTGGGAAGATTAGATTGTTTGGTGTTTGCTAAGGTCACGAGACACATTTGTATCCCTTAACCATAAAACACAAAAGCAGCAACCTTGCTTTTCATCAAATCTGCTCATTTGTCATGTCAGCGGTTGCGCTTTTTGAAATTTTGCCTGGAAAAAGACGGGGATTTAGTCGAGCTTTGAAAGTGTTGCTGCCCGACAAAAATAAACATTAAACACATCGACAAATCTTATACTTGGAAAGGTGATATTAGGCAATATTTTTAAAGATTGGAGGGCAGACAGCACTCCCTCCCACTGAAAGCATTATTTTTTTACTTTTCTCTCTTTTACTCAGCTCTGGATATGTGGACAACAAAACATTCTGCCTATGCGTAGCTGCGCATGTATTCAATGACTTCTATGTGGACACGTTACTTATGACCAGTGGCAAATTGCCCTTGCTTTCCTTCAGACTGCATATTTGATTGCAAGGGCTGCTTAAAGTGACTGATTAGAAAATAAAATGTCAGGTCACCTCTGTTTGGTCGTCTCTCTTAATTTATGCGTTTGCTGAGCCGATGAGATTTAGAAGAGGGTGAAGGGTTCGCTAATTGTTGACTTAGGCAAATGGAACTGATTGATTGCTTCCTGTGCCATTGTTCTCAACTGAGAGTAGCAGGAGACTGGTATGCATACATGACTCACTTGTACCATTGATTTTGTTTAAATAAAAGCCTGACAATGTACAGTTGATAATTTATTGGGTTAATAAAATAAAGATCCGGTGATGATTTGTTAAAATAACTGTTAGTAATTTGCTAATTCGTCTCCTTCTCTCCTCCTTGCTGCAGATCTTTTGCGCTAACGCCATGAGTGGGCTTCTCAAGAGGAAGTTTGAGGAGGTGGATGAGGACCCATGCTACTCCTCACCGTCGCCCTCTTCCCTCTCCTCTGCCTGCTCAGGCTGGGACTCGGAGGCGGAGAGCTGCTTCTCGGACACCCTGGATTCCACCCCCAGCAACCCCAGCTCCCCGGCAACAAATTTCAACAGTGAGTATCTCTCTCCAGCGATAATAAATCGCAGAAAGAGCTGATGGCACATGTTTTTATAATGCATTCTCTTGCCTTTAACATCCGCTGAGGCTCTGATAACAAACTTAGATAAATGGGGGAGAGGTTAAGGAATTTAGGCAGCTGGCAGGCCATGAAACACTTCACAGAAATGATTTCAGACTTCTGCAATGAATACCTCTTTTGATTTCATGCCCTAAAGCTGCAAAATGGCTAATCACATTATGCACTGGCTGCTCACCTTGGCTGTGTCGCCACCTTCTTCTCAAAGCCCCGCATGCAGGCACAGCCTCACCTTTTCTTGCATGATGTGGGTCGCGCGGCCTTGGGCCGTTTTGTGTCTCGACCTGGGTGCGTCTGCTGAGCTTTAGGGGACGGACCGGCTTGGAAAGGGATTGCGGTGTACGGGAGAAAGGCAAACAGTTGTGAGGTTTCCAGGATGGTGGGGCAGGCAGCCAGGAAGAGAAGCATGGCAGGTTGCCAAGGCTGGGAACACACAGAGCCTTGTCTGAAGCCCGGGCGTGCACCCAGCACAGGTGCTGAAAGTGAGTGGGTGAAGGGATACAAAAAAAAAAAA